AAGAGCTAGAGCAAAAACAATGAAAATCTGTGATCACTTTTATTTCCTACCAAAACTCGATTTTTGAGTGGAAACATAAAAGTCTATTTTCTGGCTAAACTATAAGAGGTCCATTTTCTGGCTAAACTATAAGAGCTAGAGCGAAAACAATGAAAATCTGTGATCACTTTTATTTCCTACTTAAATTCGGTTTTTTAGTGAAAACATAAAAGTCCATTTTATGGCTAAACTATAAGAGCTAGAGCAAAAACAATGAAAATCTGTGATCACTTTTATTTCCTACTAAAATTCGGTTTTTTTAGTGAAAACATAAAATTCCATTTTCTGGCTAAACTATAAGAGCTAGAGCGAAAACAATGAAAATCTGTGATCACTTTCATTTCCTACCAAAAGTCAATTTTTGAGTGAAAACATAAAAGTCCATTTTATGGCTAAACTATAAGAGCTAGAGCAAAAACAATGAAAATCTGTGATCACTTTTATTTCCTACCAAAATTCGGTTTTTTGAGTGAAAACATAAAAGCCCATTTTCTGGCTAAACTATAAGAGCTAGAGCGAAAACAATGAAAATCTGTGATCACTTTTATTTTCTACCAAAAGCCATTTTTTTTTAGTGAAAACATAAAAGTCCATTTTTCTGGCTAAACTATAAGAGCTAAAGCAAAAACAATGAAAATCTGTGATCACTTTTATTTCCTACCAAAACTCGATTTTTTAGTGAAAACATAAAAGTCAATTTTCTGGCTAAACTATAAGAGCTAGAGCAAAATCTATGAAAATCTGTGATCACTTTTATTTCCTACTAAAATTCGGTTTTTTGAGTGAAAACATAAAAGTAGATTTTCTGGCTAAACTATAAGAGCTAGAGCAAAAACAATGACAATCTGTGATCACTTTTATTAACATAAAAGTCGATTTTCTGGCTAAACTATAAGAGCTAGAGCAGAAACAATGAAAATCTGTGATCACTTTTATTTCCTACTAAAATTCAGTTTTTTGAGTGAAAACCAGAGACTGAACATAACTGGGCCACATAACCAAAGTGAATGAATTGTGATTTATTTTTGTTTTTTAAAATAAATCACTCAGAATAACAGTTATAAAATGATTTTTACTTAAATGGTTTAGTATAACTTTTACTATTTTTGTTTTGTTACTTATGTTTTTGGCTGAGCACTTGGTTTTTGCATTCCTTTTTTCTCTTGCTTATATGAGAGTGGGAGAGTATATTGTTGTTGTTTGCTATGATTTCTGAAGATAGTATGTGTGTATGTGTGTCCTAATCGTGTATTTATTGTTTTGCTTTTAAAACAGTGCTGCCCATACACATACTGTTACACATTAATTTGGATTGGTAAAGCAGCAGAGAACAAAGTTTAACCCAAAATAAAACTGTACTAATAAAATGACTGCAAACTAAAAAGTATATTCTAACTGTCAAATTGATATTATGGATTTTGACAGACAGCGTACATTAAAGTTCATATATAAAAAACTATCAGCTGTGCTCTCTCATTCATCTACATAAATTCGGCTTTCTCAAAATTTTGTTGTTGTATTTCTGTGTGGATTTTAAAAAAGTTGCGTACAGATCTTACTTCGACAAATGCTGATCAGCAACTGAGTTGATTTTGTTTTGCAAGTTGAGAGATAATCAACTAACACATGCTCAAATAAGAAAATACACAAGTACACTGTTGCCAATTTAGCTATTTTATCGTCAAATCTAGCGATTTTTAACCGCATTTTGCGGCGAAAAATATGATTTAGCTATTAGCGGGAAATCTAGCGATTTTTCTTTAGATTTCATTTATATTTTGATAATATCGCTTAAAAGTTGCTACGAATGACGATTTACATATCTGTATGTATATAAAAATATGCATTCAATGTAAATTATTTGAGTTTTAGCTGTGTGTATTATACTTATTTTGAATGTTCTGAAGAACATAATTAGGAGCAAATATTTGTGCGTACAGGTAAAGTTATACGAAAAACTTTAAAAGGGGTATATTTTGTTGTACTCAAAAACGAATATTTAATTATTCTAGTCTTTTAGTAAATGAGTGATATGATAATAAAATTTACCATAATTCTAAAAATTAGTGAACATTGGAAATAAGTGACGAAAGGATCGATCCATATAGTCCTAAAAATTTACAACATTTCTAAGGCGTATAGGGCCGCATATCGATATTGCAGATAAACTTCCCACAAAAGGAGTGTATAATAATAATCTTGGGTGCCCCGGTAGGCTAGTTGGTAGTGTGCTAGCCTGTCAGTCTGAGGGTTGTGGGTTTGATTTCCAGCAGAGATCCTGGTCTGCTACACTACAACGGTCGTATGGTTATCGTCACCCTGCTCGGTAAATTAGGTAAGAATATAATTTGTAATTGTATTGTAATGGAAAAATAAATAATACTCTTATGCTGAAAATAGAGGATCGATCCATAAAGGCCAGCATTTCGAAATTCAATTTATCTTTACAACATTTCTAAAGCAATCTGTATAGGGTCGCATATCGAAATTAACCTCAACTTGACATTTTTCCTAACCCAAAGTGAAAATATTTAACATAAAAAAAGATTCTCTTATGTGTTTGTTATAAGATGTGTTTGTATCACTATCCCATTCCTACGTATGTATATAGATTTTAGCGATAAATCGCTGACTTTTTAGAATAATATAAAAAATCTGAAAAATTTAGCTAGTTTTTTTTAGCTATTTGTTTTCAGAATCATATAATAAATATTATTTTGACGATTTATCGCTAAATTTTTCAAAATGTCTTGAATTTAGCTATTTTCTAGCTATTTTTCAGTCGACTTTAGCGATATTTTTGGGAAAAAAGTTGGCAACAGTGCACAAGTAAGCTTATAGCAAGGTATATTAATTTTATAAGGTAGTGTCATCGGCGAATTCAGAATACCAAGCGAATTGGTTATATTTTTTTTATATGTAGTTTGACATTGTGCCTGCACTTGAAGGCGAATTTGCTGTAAGGGAAAAATTTCAAAAACAGCTGACAAATAAATCAAAGCGAATTTATATTAAACAAAAAATTTTTATAAATTTGAATCTGTTTATAATTTATTCTGATGTTTTAACTTTTAAAGATTAAAAACACAAAAATATGCCCTAATCACACAATTTCACTTTAATCACAAAATTCACATATACAAAATGAAACCAGTTTGACATTAACAAAATGAAAACAAAGTTTGACATTTACAAAATGTAAACAAAGTTTGACATTAATTATACACCACGGCGAAAAATGAACATAATAGCAAAAAACGATCAGCTGTTCTGATAACACTACCTTATAATTAATATATCTTGGTATGGACATTAAGGAAACTTCAAAAGAGAATTAAGAAGAAGTTTCTCAACAAACGTTTTCTAGTGTGGACCAAGGTATATTAATTTTATAAGGTAGTGTCATCGGCGAATTCAGAATACCAAGCGAATTGGTTATATTTTTTTTATATGTAGTTTGACATTGTGCCTGCACTTGAAGGCGAATTTGCTGTAAGGGAAAAATTTCAAAAACAGCTGACAAATAAATCAAAGCGAATTTATATTAAACAAAAAATTTTTATAAATTTGAATCTGTTTATAATTTATTCTGATGTTTTAACTTTTAAAGATTAAAAACACAAAAATATGCCCTAATCACACAATTTCACTTTAATCACAAAATTCACATATACAAAATGAAACCAGTTTGACATTAACAAAATGAAAACAAAGTTTGACATTTACAAAATGTAAACAAAGTTTGACATTAATTATACACCACGGCGAAAAATGAACATAATAGCAAAAAACGATCAGCTGTTCTGATAACACTACCTTATAATTAATATATCTTGGCTTATAGTGTAGGTGAGTCAACGCAACGTCAGCAGAAATTTCTTGCCCTATCTCGCGTGATAGGGAATCGCAATTTTGGGCAACATTGTTTTAAAAATAAAAATCATAAGCAGACCTTTCCAAAAATGTTTACAAAATAAAAATCAACCACTTATCAAAAAAATCTAACATAAAGGTTTCTCTCTGTGATAAACTGCAAAAACACAATTATAAATGGTGATCACAGCAATTAACCTTATAAAAACAAAGTGGACCCGTTATTTTCAGTCTTTGCTATATACTAGACTTTAGACCAGACTAGGAGATCTACAACTAATTATATCTACATAAAACTAATCGAATGATTATTTTTCTACAAAAACAGATAGACTATTTTATAGAAGACTTACTGAGTAGTCACTATTATACAGAAGTCTTATCGAATGATGATTATGTAGTTTGTAAAAAACTGATCAAGTGATCTGTATTTTTTGAAAATCAGATCGTGTGATTATTTTTAGATTGTTTGAACTCTAATATATAGGAATCTTATAGAGTATCAATACTGATTTAATGATTGGTAATAAATTGAGTATTTTGATATTTTCGGGCAAGGCTCAAAGTTTATTATTTTTCAATATCTATTTTATATCTTTAACATAAGTGAATGAATTATACTTTAACATTTCAGTATCCTAAACAAATTTCTAAGTTGTCATACAAATCTTAATCAAATAAAAAAAATATAATTTATTTTATATACATATATATTTGTTAAATAAAAATCTGTATATATTTTTTAAAACAAGTTTAAAATTAACGGTTTTTAAACCAACCAAGAGAAGAACAATAAATTTGGCAAGAGTTATGGATAGAGATGAAAGTGAGGAGGAACTGTTGCAAAATGTACAAGAATTTACAGAACCAAATAGAAATCGAGGTGGAGGAAGGGTAAATATATTGAACATTTTATGCCAAATTATTATTATATACATAAAAGACAACGAATTTAGTTTATTTAATTAAAAAAAATTGTTAAATCATGAAGTTTGTTGAAATTTTCTTGCAAAAGAAAGTGGTGCCTAGTTTTTTAACAAAGAATTTCCTACAATTTAGCTTTCATATATAACAAAATACGCTCTCTCTTTATTTTGACATTTCTCTTCTCAACTATCGCATGTGATTTTTTGTCTTCTTTTTGTAAGAAAATTATACAGAAAAGTCGTGTGTTGCGCAAAAAAATTTATAGAAATATTATTAAAAAATTTAGTGAAAATTCGTGTAAAATCGAAAAGCAACCACAAATTTTAATTTGTTTTAATAATTTATTAAGAAAAACTAAAGTGTTTTCGTACGTAACGCGTTGGAAAACGAAAGTGTAACATAAAAAGTGCGTATTCTCTCTAGCCCATAGACAGCTCGAGTATTTTATTGATTTTCCGGTTGTTTTTTTTTTTATAAATTTTTCAAAGTGGATACCGTAAAGATTGAAGATTTGGTAGACTCCGATCCCGATATCGAGTTTATCGAAAAAGATAGCGGCATGTCTTCACTGGGCGGTAGCAAAGATGAAACACCTGAAAGAAAGACCACCACAACTGTAGCCACTGTAAGATAGAGATTTTAATGGACAAAAATATTAAAATCAATAGTATTTTTCCATTTGGATTATGTATGGATTTTAATTTGGTTTTCTTTCTTTTTTGTTTATATTACAGACCAATGACAAAGATAATAAAAATGAAGAAAATTACGATGATGTAAGTGTAAAGTTTACTTTTACAAAGTTTTTACCTTTATTTTAGTTTTTATGAATATATTTTAAGGTTTCATTCATTTATTTCTATTCAATTACACATAACCTCATTTTATGTACGTATTAGGCAATCTTTTGCTTTTATTGTTGTTGTTATTATTAGATTTTTTTTGATTGTTTGACCTGATATTTTGTTTATGGAAGTGTTATTGTTTGTCAGGGGAAGAGAGATTTCTAAAATCCAGTGGTTATTATTGTTTATATATAATGCATTGCTTTAAATCTGCGGTAGAACATTTTGCATAGTAGGAAACTGAATTTTGTTTATATTATTTAAATTCATTAATTTTATGGAGCAGTATTTTAAAAACATTGAATTTAACTTTTGCTATTCTAAAGAGAATTGAGAAGTAATCAAATTAATTTTAATGAATCCTTTCCAAACCTGTTTAAAATGTATTTATCCATGTAAAAGAGTTTAAATATTAAAATATATAAGTTGTTCTTTCCCTTAACGATAAACAATTTCCAAACTTTAAATTTGAACCTGAGAAATCCATAAATTTTTATTAGAAATTTGTGAAAATGTAGATTAAAATTATCTATATTGCTTGAAAACAAATCGAGTGATTACTATACCATATAAAACGAATTGAGAAAACACTACTCCATAGATACTTTTGAAAAGATTTCTCTTACATAAAAAAACAGATTAAGTGATCAGTATTCCTTATAAATCAATATTTGAAGTGATCAGCAATGATTTTATTTAATATTTTAAAGAGGACTGATCTAATGTTAAAAAACACACCGGGGGCAGATCAAAATTTTAAAAATGATCTAATCAAGCGATCACTATTCACTAAAAAATTATCAAATGATCAATATAACATAGAAAACTAGTCAAGTAATAGATTTAATGCAGAAAACAGATCAAGTGATAACTTTGTTATGGAAAACCGATTGATTGATTACAATTCCAAAGAAAACGGACCAAGCGATCAAAATTTTACAAAAAAAATCATATCAAGGGTCTATATTCCTTAGGAAAGGGACTGTATGATCATTATTTCATTGTTATTCCACAGAAAACAAAACTAAAACTATCATTATCATTATCCCCTTAACAACTCATTTATCTATAGAAAACATATCGAGGAAACAGAATTATATATAATATATGATCACTTTTCTTAGCATTTTTGTACAAATGATGATTTTCTAAGAGAATACGATTATATTTTAGAAAAAATTAACATGTATCTAATAATAAGAAAAACAACAAACAAATTTAAAACTTTTTTTAACAAAACCAAAAAATTTTTTCTCTCTTTTTTCCAACCTATTTACGTCCGAAAAAAAAGGAACCCGATGAGACCTTGGGTGAACGTCTTATTGGTTTAACAGAAATGTTCCCACAGCCAGTACGTGATTTTACCAGTTTATTGGTAGATGGAACCATTAGCAGTGTTAAGGGTCTCTATAAATTCACTTGCAATGCATCATGGATTTTCTTTACCAGTTCGGTGATTTTATTTGCACCCGTTGTCTTCGAAACAGAACGTGCCCAGATGGAGGAAATGCAAAAAACACAACAGAAACAGGTGTTATTAGGACCTGGTTCTGCCATGTCAGCTGTTGGTGCTCCACCAGAATTGCCATTAATACGATAAGCTTATTCTGTAAACAAAACATTAAAAAACTCTATATTATAGAAACAAAAATAAAACAAAGAAATTTATTAATTAATAAAAATAAAAAAAAACAAAAAACCTTATTAATAGCTGATTTATAAAAAATACTAAAATAACAAAAACAAAGAACAACCAAATAAATAAAACAACATTTTTTTTACCATAAAATCTTAAAAATGTTAACTTGTGCTCTTAAGGTTTACTAAAAAAGGACTCTTTAAGAAAATAGGATTTTCTTAAATTGTCTCTAACTTGGGTACCCAAAGTTTGGCTATATATGTTCAGCTAAATAAAAATATTTAAAAAAATTAAATTACGACATTAAAAATCCATCAAAATAAGCTCTAAAAATAATTAAATACATAAAACAGATTGTTAAATACTTTAAAAATAATGACAAAAATCACTGAAAAAAATCCTCCAACTAAACGAAAAATACGAAATAATAATTTTAATAAAACGTAGTAGGCATGTAATTGTAAAACATTACAATACAATTTTAGTGTTTTAGAAAAAGTTACATTACAAATTGTTAGAATTTGCATTTCAAAATTTTTTTGAGTTTTTAAACTTTAATTTTTAACAAACTTGTGTGCATTGTTATTAACGAACAAATTTAAAACGATTGCCTAGTAATATGATTATGGCAAAGGTCGACAAAAAAAAAAAAACATTTCTACAAAGCAAATAATTATAATTTGTAAAAAATATGTATAAAATTAAAGAAATAACTTAATAAAGTTTTACAAATTCAATAAATTGTTTGTATATAAAATTGTTGAAATAATATGGTTTGATATTTAAAGTGAATGGATAAAGCCGGTTTTACTGAAAACTAATCGAATGATCACTGTTTATACATATTTGATTGAATGATCAATATTCTACCGATAAATGATCGAGAGATCACTATTTAGTAGAAAAATGTTCGAGCGACAAATATTCTAGAGACAAATCTTAGCCATTTCTATTCTATAGAATTGTACTAGGGATCACTCGATAAATGTTCTCTATAATAGTAAACTGATCGAGTGATCGCTATTATATAGAAACTGATTGAATTATCACTATTCTATAGAAAACTGACAGAGTGATCTATAAAAAAGCTGAAAAAAACTAATCGAGTGATCAGTATTCTATAGAAAACTGATCGAGAGATCACTATTCTATAGAAAACTGATCAAGCGATTGCTATTCTATAAAAACTGATCGAGCGATCATTATTCTATAGCAAACTGATCGAGTGATCGCTATTCTATAAAAACTGATGAGCGATCACTATTCTATAGCAAACTAAGCGAGTGATCACTATGTATTTTATAGAAAACTGATAGAATGTTCACAATTCTATAGGTAATTGTATGTGTGATCACTCCATAAATGTTCCATATAATAGTAAACTGATCGAGTGATTGCTATTACATCTATAGAAAACTGATCGAGTGCTTACTATTCAAAAAACTGATCGATCGATCACTATTCTATAGAGAACTGATCGATCGATCACTATTCATAGAGAACTGATCGATCGATCACTATTCATAGAGAACTGATCGATCGATCACTATTCATAGAGAACTGATCGATCGATCACTATTCATAGAGAACTGATCGAGCGATCACTATTCTATAGAGAACTGATCGAGTGATCGCTATTACATCTATAGAAAACTGATCGAGTGATCGCTATTACATCTATAGAAAACTGATCGAGTTATTACTATTCAAAAAACTGATCGATCAATCACTATTCTATAGAGAACTGATCGATCGATCACTATTCTATAGAGAACTTATCGATCGATCACTATTCATAGAGAACTGATCGAGCGATCACTATTCTATAGAGAACTGATCGAGCGATCACTTTTCTATAGAGAAATGATCGAGCGATCACTATTCTATAGAAAACTGATCGAGCGATCACTATTCTATAGCAAACTGATCGAGCGATCACTATGAGCTCGAGTGAGCTCAATTCTATAAACAACTGATTGAGTGATTACTACTATTTAGATCAATTAATCGAGAGATCACTGTTCTATAGAAAACTGATCGAGTAATCATTATTCTATAGCAAACTGATGGATTAATTACTATTCTATAGCAAACTGATAGTCACTATTCTATTGAACGTAGATCGAACGATCACTAATTTATAGAAAACTAATCGAGTGATCTATGTTCTATAAAAAACTCAAAGATTGATCAATATTATATAGATCACTCTTAAATAGAAAATTGTAAAGAAACTAGATCGACTGATCACTACTCTACAAAAACTCGTCGAATTAAACACAATACTGATCCACTATTATTACAATTTCAAATAAAACTGATCAGTATTCTATAATAACAAGTGATCACCTTAATATAAAATCGATTGATGATCGCTAAACAAATCACTATTCAATAGAAAACTGATTATACAAATAAATTTTCATTTAAATCATTCGATTAGATCACTGATCGATAGAAGATCTAGCGATTGTTTTTCTGAAGAAAACTGATTGGCTATTGTATAGAAATTAAATCTAGCGATTACTATTCTATAAAAAATTATTGAATGATCGCTTTTTTTTGCAAAAAATTGTGCAGGTTATCAATATTTTATAGAAAACTTATCATTTAAGTTTTTGATTAAATGATTGTAGAACTTTGTTTTGATCTTTTTCTTCAAATAAAATTCCCATCTTTTTAATAAAAACCACACAACTTTTACGAAAGAAATAATAAAGAGATTTTTTTCTTTATTTATAATTTCAAATTATAATTTTTAGAACAGGGAGTTTAAATTTGTAGAAATCGTTTTGTTTTGTAATAACAATAAACGGAATTTAATACATATTTTGTTTGTAATTTATATACGCTTATAGGCTTCATTAAAACAACATTAACTTGGCATCTAAAACGATATAAGTATATAAAACAAAGACAAAATTATGATTTTGATTAAACATATTTTGTATGTACACACATAGAGATTTCTTATTTTTTAACAGTAAAAATAAAAACATAAACAAAAAGAATATAAAGAACGAATGAACTCCAGGTTCTATAAAAATACGAAATTTTTGTATAAAAATAGGAATTATGTATAAACATTTAAAAATATATAAAGGTACGCTATAACTAAAATAAACTATAATAATATCTGTCATAAAAACACAACAATTTTAAGACAATGTATAGCAGTTTAAGCGTTCACAAGTTTGTCTCATTATCGACGACATTACAGCCTCAGTGGAAACAATTATTATATTTTTATTTATACGTCTATACTTGTGCCAATCCTTTTTGTCCTCCTTGGTACTGACTAAATAGATTTTTTGATTATCTTTGGCAGCAGGTGGATTTTTTTCATGCACATAACCACCAGAAGCTTCAATAATAGCTAATGAATAAAATATGAATGAATTAGAATAACAACTTAACTCGGTATCATGTCAATAGAACAAACCTTTAATTTCCTGAGGATTTGGTAAAATATTATTTGTCATCACAAATTCATAACCTTGAAATAGTTTATGTTTTTTAGCCATTTGCAGGGATTTAAACAATGAAAATTTATGTTTCTTTTCGAATTCTTCATCCGTAAAGAGATAATCATTTATTTTAACCGATTTGGGCGATTTTGATTCATTTAGTTTCTTTAGATATTTAGATGTTACTATAGGTATACCCCTGGCCATGGCTAAAAGAAATTTAAATGTTCTAAATGCTTTATCCATTACTAAAATCTCACTATCTGCTGGATATTTAGCAACATTCCAAAATCCTTTACTATTTCTTATTAAATCCTGAAATAGTTCTGGATCCACCATAGTCATGGATATTAAAGTTGGGGTTGTTGGTGTTGAGTTTGTTTTTGTTGTGGCAGATTCCTGGGAATGCTTGAATGAAAATAATTTTTTAGTATTTAGTTTAGTTGTTGTGGGGTCTCGCAACTTACTGTGCTTCTTAAACGTTTACGTTCTATTTTTTGTGGTACTACTGGAGGAGTTGCTTCTGCTTTCCGTTTACGTTCACCGGATGTCTTCGTTGTTATACTTCCATTTGCGGAAGTATTATGAGACAATGATGAATCATTTTTACTTTTATTGTGTTGTTCAGTTTTACGCAATAAATTATTTGTTGTTATACTGTCTTGAGATTCACTTTGTTTGGAAGTGGAGCGACAACGTGTAAGACGAATAACTGAAAAAAATTAATCATGTAAGTTTTCATAACTTATATCTCGTGGAATAGTAAAACAAAAGTCGGTGGATTTGTATAGTTATCGAATGATCTATAGAAAACTAATCAGGTGGTCACAATATGCAATACTATAGAAAAGTACTCACTATCCTATAGATAAATGATTCATAAAAACTGTTCTATAGAAAATTAATTGATCAAAAAGTATTCTATAAAAACGGATCACGTGATCTGCATTTTTCAGAAAATTGATCGAGCGATCAGTATTTTATAGAAAACGAACTTTTACCTATTTATAGAATGCTGTTCGAGAGATCAGCATTCTTAAAAAAAACTGGTCGATAAGTTTTGTACAGGAAATTTTTCGAGGGACCATCATTTTTTATAGAAAACTGATCGACTGATTACTATTCTATAAAATACTGATCCAGTGATCACTATTCTATAGAATACTGATCAAGTGATCACTATGCTATAGAAAACTGATAGATTTATCACTTTTTATAGAGAACTGGTCGACTGATCACTAGCCTATAGAAATCTGATATATTAATCACTATTCTATAAAAATGTTAAGTAGAAAACTGTTCAAGTGATAACTATTCTATAGAAAACTGTTCGAGTGATAACTATTCTATAAAAAACTGATCAAGTGATAACTATTCTATAGAAAACTGATCAAGAGATCACTATTCTAAAACTGATGGATTGATCACTATTCTATAGAAACATTTAGTAGAAAACTGATCGAGTGAGAAATATTCTATAGAATACTGATCCAGTGATCACTATTCTATAGAAAACTGATCGAGTGATAACTATTCTATAGAAAACTGATCAAGTGATCACTATTCTATAGAAAACTGATCAAGTAATCACTATTCTATAGAAACATTTAGTAGAAAACTGATCGAGTGAGAAATATTCTATATAATACTGATCCAGTGATCACTGTTCTATAGAAAACTGATCGAGTGATAACTGTTCTAAAGAAAACTGATAGATTTATCACTTTTTATAGAAAACTGGTCGACTGATGACTAGCTTATAGAAATCTGATGCATTGATCACTATTCTATAGAAACATTAAGTAGAAAACTGATAGAGTGATAACTATTCTATAGAAAACTGATCGAGTGATAACTATTCTATAGAAAACTGATCAAACGATCACTATTCTATAGAAAAACTGATAGATTTATCACATTTTATAGAACACTGATCGACTGATCACTAGCCTATAGAAAACTTATGGATTGATCACTATTCTATAGAAACATTAAGTAGAAAACTGATCGAGTGATAACTATTCTATAGAAAACTGATCAAGTGATAACTATTCTATAGAATACTGATCAAGTGATAACTATTCTATAGAAAGCTGATCGAGTGATAACTATTCTTTAGAAAACTGATCAAATGATCACTATTCTATAGAAAACTGATAGATTTATCACTTTTTATAGAAAACTGATCGACTGATCACTAGCCTATAGAAAACTGATGGATTGATCACTATTCTTTAAAAACATTAAGTAGAAAACTGATCGAGTAATAACTATTCTATAGAATACTGATTCAGTGATCACTTTTCTTTAGAAAACTGATCGAGTGATTACTATTTTATAGAATACTGATCCAGTGATCACTATTCTTTAGAAAACTGATCGAGTGATCACTATTCTATGCAAAGCTGATCGAGTGATAACCGTTCTATAGAAAACAGATGGTTTGATCATATATCTATAGAAAACTGATAGAGTGATCAATATTCCATAGAAAACTAAACGAGAGAGATATGACCGATTGATTACTTTCTATAGAAAACTAACATATTGAAATTTTTTTGTATAGAAAAGTGATATTTTATCTAAACGAAATGATCGATTTATCTATTTAGTATAGAAAAATTATCGATAGATCACGTTTCTATACAATAATCTTGTTGAAAACTGATCGAGTGGTCCGTATTCTATAGAAAACTTATTGAGCGATCATTATTCTATAGAAAACTGTTCGATCACTGTTGTACAGAAAACTTATTCAGAGAGAACTAATTGATTGATCACTATCTATAGAAAACTGATAGATTGAAATTTTTTTTATGGAAAACTAATCACTTTTCTATAAAAAAATATTGACTTATCACTTTTCTATAGAAAACTGATCGAGTGATTACTATTATATAAATCGGTATTCTATGAATAAATATTTATCGAGCGATCATTGTTCTATAGAAAGCTGATTCAGAGATCATTATTCTATATAAAATCTAGCGAACACAAGAAAACTTTTCAATATTATATAGAAAACTAATCGAGCAATCACTTCTATAGAAAATTGATCGAGTTACAATTTTTGTACACAAAACTAATTTGCTTAAAAATTAAAAAAATGAGAAAATTTACAGTGAAAATATATGAGTGAAAACAAAAATAAAATTTCAAAATTCAGACTGACGTCAAGCTACAACTTACTCGGTGTGGTAGATTTTATATTCAAATCATCTTCATCTAATTTATTATTTAAAAAGTGGTAAAATTAAAATAAAAAAAATGGCAAAAATTAAAAAAAATAGGTAAAATGAATTTTGTGCATAAAACGTGTAAATGGGTTTTTATGAATAATCTGTTTTATGTAGGTAAATGTTTGGTGTGTCTGTGTTTTAAAGTGTTTTGTGAGAGTCAATGAGAGAAAAACTTACATGGTTGTGTGGCAATACTGTCCATATCGTCTTCTTCATCTATTTAGTTTTATTTTAAGCAAAATAAAGAAATCGTTAAAACAAAGAACATAACATTTAGAGAAATATTCATTTGTGAATAAAAGTATTTGGACGGGAAAAAATGGTCGTTTTTTTTAAAACTGTTGAATAATTGGGTTGGCTGATGATTTCTTGTATGGTAATGTATTTAGTTGTTTATGGAAACAATAAATTTGTTGATGAATAGTATTTTTTGTTTTTTTTTTATGTTTTTTTTTGAGTCATTTAAAACGAATAGTTTTGATGGATATATGAAGATTGTCTATGATTTATTTTCTTAAACTTACAGGGTTGTGTGGATATACTATCCAAATCATCCACTGTCTCCGGTTTATGTTTTGTTGTCTTGCTTACGATAGCCTCCTTGCTAGTAGAGGGTTTTTCCTCATGCCTCGATTTGGCACGAGTCATGCGTCTAGCTGGCATTTCTTTTGTTGTTTCGTCCTTTTTTATTTCCTTTGCTGACTCTGTGGTATCAGAAGATGCTTTTCTTTTACGTTGTCTAGTAGTTTTCTCTGGTTTAGTTGATGACTTTTGTTCTTCTTGCTCTTGTTTAGTTTTGGACTTATGTTTATCTTCTTCTTGTTTAGTAGAAGACTTTTGTTCTCCTTCATCTTGTTTAGCTAAAGACTTTTGTTCTTCCTGGTCTTGTTTAGTTGAAGATTGGGCCTTTTTAGCTTTTGTCTCCTTCTGCTTTGTTTTCTTTTCTTGAGACTTTTCTTTACTCTCATCTTTACTATGATTTCTGCTACTATCCTTTGTTTTAGATCTCCCCTTACGTTCGGCTAATTCTCTTTCTTTATCGCGAGCCGCATGTCTTTCATCGCGACTTAGTTGAGAGGACTTAGACTGTGCAGCTTTTGCTTGATTTTTATCTTGTTCTTTGCCAAAAGAGATATTAAATTTGTATAATTTTTGAGCTTCTTTAGCGGCCTGTTGTTCTTTATTTAATTTGTTGGCCTCAGGTTGACTTTTCAAATGAGGTAGTAATTTATCAAAATCTAAAGAATCTTTAGGTATATTTATTAATTTAACCAAATCACTTGATCATCACTCTTCCTCTTTTTCCTCTTCGTCGGTATCATCGCCCAAACAAATGTTATTTTTGACCGCTAAAATATTTTTCCTTAATCTTCCGTTTGGTCCACATGTAAGTGTTCTTTAATGAGTTGAGGTGTGCACATAGTAATCTAAATCCAGTTTCTGAGGTAGTACTGGTGGCTGAAGAAGTTTTCCTTAAACGGGAACTTTGAAATATGATACTGGCGAAGTTTTCGGCTTTAAAGGAGTTTTCTCCATTTCGGCAAAGAATGTAGCAGGATTTTTAACATTCAGTTTGTCTCTTCTAAAACCGTTTGAGTTAAAACATTTAACGGGTATTAGTTTTATGGGCTGAACTGCGTGAGAGGGTAGAGGGAGCAGTATAAGGCTTGGAGAAAGGCCTGAGTTAAAAGATCATCTTCGTCATCGAGCATCTATATCAAGTAAAGATTTCGTTTTGTTTTTTGTTGTCAGTTGGCAGGGGGGGGAAACGAGGGCGAGAAGGGCGAGAGGGAGGGGAGCGGGCGGGAGAAGGAACGGGAAAGAAAGGAAGGGGAAAAAAGGGGGACGAGAAAGGGAGGGGAGAAGAGAGAAGAAGAAGGAGGAGAAACGAGCGAGCGAGCGAGCGAGCGAGCGAGCGAGCGAGCGAGCGAGCGAGCGAGCGAGCGAGCGAGCGAGCGAGCGAGCGAGCGAGCGAGCGAGCGAGCGAGCGAGCGAGAGAGCAGCGAGCGAGAGCGAGCGAGCGAGCGAGCGAGCGAGGAGCGAGCGAGCGAGCGAGCGAGCGAGCGAGCGAGCGAGCGAGCGAGCGAGCGAGCGAGCGAGCGAGCGAGCGAGCGAGCGAGCGAGCTAGCTAGCGATCTATCTATCTATCTATCTATCTATCTATCTATCTATCTATCTATCTATCTATCTATCTATCTATCTATCTATCTATCTATCTATCTATCTATCTATCTATCTATCTATCTATCTATCTATCTATAGTATTATGTACTTACTTTCAAATAGTTGTGTAGGAGGCACATCTGTTATGGGCTCCAAAGTGATAGGACATCTATTCTCTTTATCACTTAAAGTTAACACTTCTTCTTTTTCCTTTTCCAAGCAAGGTTTATCCTCAACATTAGATCCTTTATTTTCTATATGTTTCGTAGCAGAAGGTAGAAAACTTGTGTTGGCAATAAATCTTCTTCATCTTCAACCGGCATGTTAAGCTTTACTTCTAAACTCGACTTTGTTACATTGTCTGGTTCTTTAGCTTTTTCGGTATCGGCTTGTAAGCCCTCGAAATCAAATATATCCGGTGTGGAGCAGTCAGCCCTTAAGGCCGTTGTTTCTTGATCGATTTTTGAATTGGACCACTTGACCGACGAGATCTCTTTATCTTCCTCATCAAGTTTCGAGTGATTTCTTGAATTTTCATTTTCATTGCAAGATTTTGCTGTAGTATTCAAAATTACTGTGTGGTGTTTTATTAAAGGTATAATTTGAGAATGTAAGCCCTGATCCGCCTCTTCACCAAAACCTTCATTGTAATCCTGTGTACAGATTCTAAACTGACTGCCATCTATCTCATTGGCACTTTCGCCTGCTTCCTCTTTTGTTGATTCTTCTAGCAATATGCTCTTTTCTTTGACCTCAGACAATAAACGTGGCCTCTGGCTGCTGGATATACCGCCTCCAGCTGGCAAAACTTCCTGCGTTTCTGGTATACAAAAATCATCATCATTATCGAAATCATCTAAATTGCCAAAATTGAATTTTATTTTATTTCCGCTGACATCTGGATTACTTTCGGCTATTGAAAGATCAGAGGCATTTAAGGAATTGCGTGCTCTGCAATATTGCGTTTCGGGTATAGTAAAGCTATCACTACGCCGACTATTCGTTGAGACATTTAGGGAGTTTCTACTGGCATTGGCTGCTTCTGTTTCAGGTATAACTAAACTATTATTGGGAGTCGTGGCTTTTTTAGCGGGTAACGCTGGCACTAAGAAATTATTATAATTTGTCCGTTTAATACGACTCTCATGTTGTGAAGTAGAGTCGGGACTGGAGGGTATAATATCGGAGGTATTTTTGTTGACTTCTAGGAAACCACTACTGTCGTGAGACTGTAAAAATCACAAAACGATAAAATAAGACGCTATAGAATCTTTTGTAGCTCTATTAACTCACCACTTCCTGTTGATCATGATGAAATTTGATCTCCTGTTTACCCACTTTCAAAATATCACCATTTTTCAAACGCAATTTCTCCAGACCCTTTAAAAGTGTATTATTCACCAAAGTTCCCTTAGAGCTAAATAAATCGAAAACGTATACATCCTCTCCATGTCCTACTTCTATGACGCAATGCTTGTGCTCAACATCTTCCTAAAAAACAAATAATTGATTTCTCAAATTAAACAAGAATTTATTTTCTTTTTCACTTACTTCAGACTCTAATTTAATAAAATTATTTGCTTTGTTAACGCTTTCTTCGTTTTGCTTGCCCAGCAGATACAATTGTCCAATATCCAAAGGAATGCGTTGGCTATTTATTTCCACAAACATTGTAAATGACGCCTTTGAAAAAGTTTTACACAAACAAGTGATTTTAATAGTTTTAATAACAATTTTTTATTAAATTCTTGTTATTACATTATCTGTCATTTAAGGGAAAGTATTACAAAGATTTTTTATATTCGAATTAATTTATTATAAGCTTTATTAATTAAATATGTTTATTTTATTACTGTTTTGCGCGAATTTAATGAAAAAATAGTTTTTGTTTTGGCTTGTGGCACTACTTTTGATAGTGCTGCCAAGTTTGTAGATGATGTGATTTGACAGGTGTTGCCAACTAAAGATAGAGAGATAGCAGAATATTGAAGGTTTAACAGATTATTTTAAAATGAAAAAGACTTCGTAATTTGTAAATATTTTGTATAAAAAACTATTTTTGATTAAATATAAATATTTCATTTAAAGAATGACTAAATTTACTTTCGAACATTTACGAAAAGAAGATAGTCGACTTACAGACATTTTTCAATCGAGTGTTCTATTGTTCGAAAGTCGAATTTCAAATGAAAATTCTTTATTTCAAAAAAAGTCTAATTTGCTTTTGGGCTTTTCTGAATTTTAAGAAAAAATTTCAAATTGAAAATCTCACTTAAGTGAATGTCTTCGAATTAATAAAATATTTTAAATTTTAATTGAAATTCGGTTATTATTTAATATCTTTGATAAATATAAAAAGAGCAGAAAACTTAGCCGGCTTACAAACAATTTTAACACAACGCCGTAATTTTTAGTGTCATTCGCCACCGTCGTTAATATTTTTCAGCGCGGTTCTCTGTTTGTTAGTCGGTCCGAGTATTTTTCGAGTTTTATATCGTTATTATTAATAATTAATAAAATACTGTGTTAAAAATGTCTCCACTTACCTCCCTACGAGATCCACATTTCGATTACAAAATAAAACGTTTCTACAATTGTGTTCTGGCCCAAACTATATCGAGCTCTGGCAAGTTTTTGTTTGCCGGTAATAGAGATGGTGACATCTTTGTACAAAAGTATGTTTTCCCTCGCAAATTACTTGAACATCAAAATTATTTAAATATACTTACAGATTAAACAATCTACAAGATTCCGAAGAACCTCATGAACCTCTAAAGATCTACAGTCAAGGTGATGAAGTGGAAATAAATTGTTTATGTTTCCATCGTGATTTTCTGATAGTCGGCTCCATTGGTGTAGTTTATGGTCTCAAGTGGTTGGAGGAAAAAGGTGAGCTGGTGAATAAAAGATCTTGGGAAATAAAAATACCCATAGAGGCAGATGCTATCGAGGTGCCCGATGTCAATTACATGTGGTTGAGACCGGACACGGATTTCTTGTTTGTGGGCTGTGGTGACAATGTCATTTACGAAATTACTTTGGAAGATGGACGCATAGTAAGAGACTTTAAAGGTCATGACGATTATATACATGGTGTTTGTGGTTTTGGCGACAATAAGCTATATTCTGCCTCCGAAGATGGTTCAGTGCGTTTTTGGGCCACAAATGAAAAAGAAAGTGTTGGCCTTATAAAACCCTATGAAAAGGAGAATTTATGTCGTCCTGAAATGGGCAAATGGCAAGGAGCTTTAGCTGTTAACCAAGACTGGTTGGTATGTGGTGGTGGTCCCAAATTATCATTATGGCATTTACGTACTATGGAATGTACAAATGACTTTCCTTTTCCGGGAAAAGTTCATGTATGTGACTTTGTGGAGGATATGATTTTCGTGGGTGGAGAAAATACCAATGCTCAATTTTATGCCATGAATGGTAAACTAAGAGCTGACATCAAGACTGAAAACACTGCAGTATATTCTGCCGTCTGGCAACTGGAACCACAACGTTTTATGTCTATAGCGGGTTTTAGCAATTGGCTGTCACTTCTTAATGATTTTCGGTTTTTGGATAGTAAAATTGAGTTGTACACTTCGAAAGAAAGTTCGGAAAGCAGCAATAATAAGAAATATAATTAAAATGCGGAAAACTAAAGTATAAGCTGTAAAACAACATTTAGCGAACAATCATTATATTGTACTCAATAAACTTTAAATTGTAAAGAGGTACTTAAAATCTATACTATAATTTGTGTATAGAAATTTTATTTTTTTCATTTATATTTGCAGTTTATAACTTTGAAATTCAAGAAACATTTACTTAAAATTCGAGATTAATAATTTGATGATTAGAATTTAAACAATCAAGATTATCAAAGGTAATGATTTTCACAATTTTCTAAGTAGAATTAAAATTAAGCAAAATTGGATGGGATATGATCGTTTTAAAATCCATAAATATGGATCCAATTAAGAAAATAGCGAACAAATAAGGTCTTCTATATTTTCCATTAAAAATTGATTTTAATAAGAGAAACTAAAGTTGTTTTTAGATCTTTAAATAAAAAACAACGGAGAAAATCTAAGAAATATATTTTCATTTAATAACGATTTTTATAAAAATGCTGTAACACTTCAACACTTTCATTGAGAAGGTACCGTGTAGATGCCACCAATGTTATCAAAATCTTTTTTTAGAAGAGGAATCTAAACTCGGTGTAGGGCTATCAAAACCGCTCTAACTATGAGGAAGTAGTGGACATTTTAGATCACTCTTCGGTGTTATTGGGGAATGTCCAACCACTGTTTTTACCAGAGGTGGCGTAGACAATAACTAACTCAATAAAGAACGAACGAGAACGAACGAACGAACGAACGAACGACAACGAACGAACGAACGAACGAACGAACGAACGAACGAACGAACGAACGAAACGAACGACGAACAACGAACGAACGAACGAACGAACGAACGAACAAAGAACGAACTAACGAACGAACTAACGAAACGAAACGAACGAACGAACGAACGAACGAACGAAAGAACGAAACGAACGACCGAACGAACGAACGAACGACGAAACGAACGAACGAAACGAACGAACGAACGAACGAAGCGAACGAACGAACGAACAACGGAACGAACGAACGAACGACGAACGATAACGAACGAACGAACTAACGAACGAACGAACGAACGAAACGAACGACGACTAACTAACTAACTAACTAACTAACTAACTAACTAACTAACTAACTAACTACTAACTAACTAACTAACTAACTAACTAACTAACTAACTAACTAACTTAACTAACTAACTAACTAACTACTAACTAACTAACTAACTACTACTAACTAACTAACTAACTAACTAACTAACTAACTAACTAACTAACTAACTAACTACTAACTACTAACTAACTAACTAACTAAAACTAACTAACTAACTACTAACTACTACTACTAACTAACTAACTAACTAACTAACTAACTAACTAACTAACTAACTAACTAACTAACACTAACTAACTAACTAACTAACTACTAACTAACTACTAACTAACTAACTAACTAACTAACTAACTAACTAACTAACTAACTAACTAACTAACTACTAACTAACTAACTAACTAACTAACTAACTAACTACTACTAACTAACTACTAACTAACTACTAACTAACTAACTAACTACTAACTAACTAACTACTAACTAACTAACTAACTAACTAACTAACTAACTAACTAACTAACTAACTAACTAACTACTAACTACTACTAACTAACTACTAACTAACTAACTAACTAACTAACTAACTAACTAACTACTAACTAACTAACTACTACTAACTAACTAACTAACTAACTAACTAACTACTAAACTACTAACTAACTAACTAACTACTACAACTAACTAACTAACTAACTAACTAACTAACTAACTAACTAACTAACTAACTAACTACTAACTACCTAACTAACTAACTAACTAAACTAACTAACTAACTAACTAACTAACTAACTAACTAACTAACTAACTAACTAACTAACTAACTAACTACTAACTAACTAACTAACTAACTAACTAACTAACTACTAACTAACTAACTAACTAACTACTAACTAACTAACTAACTAACTAACTAACTAACTAACTAACTAACTACTAACTAACTAACTAACTAACTAAACTAACTACTAACTAACTAACTAACTAACTAACTAACTAACTACTAACTAACTAACTAACTAACTAACTAACTAACTAACTAACTAACTAACTAACTAACTACTAACTAACTAACTAACTACTAACGAACTAACTAACTAACTAACTAACTAACTAACTAACTAACTACTAACTAACTAACTAACTAACTAACTACTAACTAACTACTACTAACTAACTAACTAACTAACTAACTAACTAACTAACTAACTAACTAACTAACTCAACTAACTAACTAACTAACTAACTAACCTAACCTAACAAAATTACTTTCATTATTTTCTTTACAGATTAACTTTATTAATAAAAAACACACATTTTTATTGAACAATATTTTCACATTTGTCTTTAGTGATTAACAATAAGTCCAGCTTGTCCGAGTTACCCACATTATTAATAAATTTGCAGTTATCAAAGGTAAGTTCCCTAAAAATATTAAACATTTTAAAAGGTTAGTTAAATGCTAAATACAATAGGTGAGACACTTACCCCTGCTCTATAAAATTTTCCAACATTTTTATAAATTTTTGGGATAAAATCTCTTCTTCCGATCTGAAAGAACGTGTAGGATAACTCATCATTAAAGTAAAATCATCTGCATGAACGGTGCCTAAAATTAATTGAAATTTAAAATTTTATTCAATTTAAATTAGTCAGGTCTCTTGTAAATTCTTACCAAATTTCATATCTTTTCTTTGGGCTAAATCATTAGCAAAACTATGGTCCGAGGGATTATCATAGACATAGCCATAAACGGGCGCCTTATTATGTTGACTGTGTAATTTTAAGGCTTTTAAGACACCATTTTTAAATAAAACATCTGTATAGATTTCTTGTACTTTTAAATAATTATCCTCGGAAAATGTTAGACTGCCCAAGTATTCGTTTTTTAATTCTAGGGCATATTTTGCAGGATCTTCTTTGATATTTTCTAAAAATAGATTTTGTGGAGCTAGTTCCAACCATTTATTATTTAAATCTTCCAAATATGTTTTTCCGGTTTTAGGATTTATTTGCAATAATTCCGCGGCATTATAGCCACCATCTTGAGCAGCATATGAAGCTAACCAGGGCAGTTGGGAGTAATTTCCTGACTTTATAATATCCCGGGGATGTTCTGTTATAAATGCATGTGCTGAGTTTTTATGTTCCACCACTGGTCCAAAGGTGGTAAAGGGATTATAACCAAAGTTTAATAATTCTTTAACACTTGTTACAATTTCCTCGGGAGTTTTTTGTTTGAGACAGTGTTTTATAGCTTGAGTATTTTCCAAATCAGGACATTTTAAATGTTGGGCCAGTTTTAAAGTATTCTTCAAGGGATTTTTAATAATAACCCAAGGATTAAAGGCCACACCACTTAAAGATATCGCCGCCTTGGCTATATGTTGTAGAGCAGGATTTAACATCTGCAAATGAGTCGAGGCTGCTCCTGCAGAAAATCCCATTAATAATATCTTTTCTGGATCACCACCAAAGTGTTGAATATTTTCCTTAATCCATTTTAAAGCCATTTGCTGATCTTTCAAACCATAATTACCGCTTATAGCCTCATCTCCAGTACTTAAGAAACCCAAAGGTCCCAAGCGATAAGAGATCTTAACCAATATAACATTGCCCTGCTTCATAAGCAAATCCTCGCCAAACATATCGGCATGACCAAACATAAAAGCTCCTCCATGTATATAAGCTATAACAGGATATTTCTCTTTACCCGTCTTCGGCTTATAAACACTAACAAATAAACAATCTGCGGATCCCTGTAATTTATTTTCACCTTCTTTAAATTGATTCCATTGCATACACTCTACCGGCTTTTTAGTGGCATCAAATATATCTCTCCATTTATCGTCGTAAACTTGAGGTGGTTCAAAACTTAATTCAGCCACTGGCGCCTTGGCATATGGTATAGATTCGTAACTATAATAGTAACCATTATCTCTACCCTTTAATTTGCCATTATTTAACTGCACTATTAAATCATCATTACTATTTTCTTCACTTTGTACCCGATTTAGAAATATTATTACTAAAGCAAGTATTGAAAATTTTAAGCCACTATTCAAGTTCATGTTGTGCTCGACTTGAGTTCTTTACTAAAAATGAAAATTTTAATCTTGAAACGGTAATGAGTTTTGAACCAAACTAGACTTGCAATCGTATTTTGTTATCTCTTGTTTAGGTAACTGAATTATTTAACAGATGTTTTGTATTTTTGAAACTGTTATCAGTGTTTTTCTTTTAAAGACTGACAGTGATAATGTCAATAGTTTAGCTGTTAGAGATGATTTTATTAGAAAAAGTACTAAAGTATAAAATATGAAGGAATAAATCCACAATTGTACAATTGGAGAATAACTTAAAAACTTGACATGAACTTGAAAGCACTATGGCCAGAATCGTTCCCAGAACCAATGATTGTTTACTCAGCGACAGTTGTATTAAACGAACATTTTTCTTTAGGAAAGAACTACAATATCCTGAGTATCCGTTAAATCATCGTAACATGTCGAAAACTCGCCTAAAAATGTCTGCATATTGAAATGTCCGGAAATTCATATTCTAAAAGACCGGTAACATCGTCGCTGCATTATCCAATACGTAAAAATATTGTTCTACCCCGACTCAAGCGTCCGAATTTGAGTCTCTGTCGAGTCGGAGTTGTCATTTTCATTTGTGCTACAAAATAACTAATAACAAAGGGATCTTGTATTTTCCCGAGAATATCACATGTTCTGATTTGTTAGGATTTACACTACCATGAGCTTATATCATTAGTGCTTATTCTAATCTTGAGGTGAGGTTTCAAGATGACTGCCTACCGCTACATAGTCAGCATAGGAAACCATTGCTATTGGTATCTATTGATTAAAACCCAGAATCTGCTCTTCATAGATGAGAGTCACGACAGATAATCAGCTACTATGATCCAATTGTCGAAAAATAAAGCTTTTTCACTTAACTTCTGAGTAGTATGAGTTTCTCCAAAGAAGTTAAGCAAGTAATAGTTTCTACATTCCGTTCCATAACTGATTTGTGATTTTCATACAAAAACCTCAGGGTTATCGAATCAGCTGATTCATCATGGAACGCAGAAACTAACGGAGCCTTTACTCGAAACCCGTAAGAGCTTTTCCACCTAACTGTTCTTTTAAAAATTTCTTTCATGCTTTAAAGTCCTGGCATGAATGTTAGTCAGTATCAATACCCCCTCAGATGCTTAACAGTCCCTGAAATCCATAGGGTAAATCCGGCATACTATTTCGTCGTTTCCCCCTTTTAGTTCTTGCCGCTCCTCCTATAGCTTTCCTTTACATCGTCTTTCTCTTTAGGTTAAATTTTGCTCTTACGAGTAAGCACGTTGAAACGGAACAACCAAGTACCCTGTAGGAAATGTCAATATTAAAAATGTGCTTAATCGCTATTGACTTTGTCAGTAGTACTAGTGTCGAATTATACCCTATACAAGGCTTAGTGTTATTGACATTTAACATGTGCGTGTCATTGAAAATTCTCTAGTAACATTATGACTATTGACTAGGTACTTCTCATGGATCCATATGGTGACATTAGAACCAGGAATTTACTAGTACATTTCTATATCGCGAGTCCATTCAGTTTTAATACAGACATTTTCTTAAGGAATATTGACATGTTTGTTGACAATGCCACTAGATATACACCACTTTGGTCTCTGTATTTTTTATATTGACACAGAAATGAAAGATTGGAGACATTTGAACTAGTACTGTTGACAAAAAGATATATGGACCCAGTCTGACTGCAGGGTAGTTACAGCATACGTGGACCATGCATAAGCATTATCCTGACGCAGAGGGGAGATGTTAAACAACTAGTTTATGAATGCACTAACTGGTCATCAAGGCCCTCTCCATTGTTACATCGCTCTCATCTCAGAGACGATAGATTGACTTCTTGGCGATTCGCTTGGCCTCTGACTATAAGCGAATATCATAGCGATATTAACGAAAAACGTAGACAAAGGAGTTACTGGACAACTGCAAGAGCACGTCCACATCACAGTCCTTTAAAATCTTAGCATACATGTAAATCAGTGTCAAATCCCACCCAAAGTATTGTCCGATTCATTTTCCTCAGTTCCTTTATAGTCCCTGAAAGCCGTAGTTAGTTCTATCCGCTACTCCTACATCTTTTTGCATAGTTTTTCTTTTTTAGTTAAATTTTGCTCCTACGAGTAAACACGTTCACACGGAGGTCCCTTGGACTTCGAGCAAGAGCTTGTCCACGACACATTCCCATAAAATCTGTCCTTCATGCTTTAAAAACATGGATACCTGCTACTAAAGGTCATAGATAATCCATAAATCCCAACAGATCAAAACCATAGAAAGCTCTAGCTTCGCTAAAATATATTTACCGAAGCGACCGCAGTTAACTCCTGCTATATTTCTATGCCATTCTTCTAGTTGACAATTCATCTTATTGTCATCTTTTCACATTAGGATGGGGTTCTGAAAGTTTTGTCAAGCTCAAACTTAATCAAATTTAGTTTCTAGTTGACTGCAACACTATCTGTTATACAGTGCCAGAATGTGTAATCATGGAATCTACCCAATTCGACGCCTAATTAAAAAAATATTAAATATTAAAAACAACAAACACATACAATTAAAAATATTTCACATTTTTATTATTTTCACGTTCATTTCGAATGCCTTAATAGTTAACAGTTATCATTTTCGTATAAAACTAAAACTAAAAAAAAATAAATTAATTATTTTACTAATTGAGTTAAAATATCAAATACATATTAAACAGGATGGCTTATCGCGTTGAACAAGAGCCCTTTCCTTGTATCGTTACATCTGAAAAAAAATATAAATTATTAAAAAATGTTAATTTTAAACACTTTCACATGAAATTTAAATTCCCAACAACCAACCCAAAAAACATTAACATATTTACAATTTAATTGTGTTTAATTTTTAAAACATTCAGCACCTCAACCTCAACAACAACAACTACAACTTACCAATATGCAAACATGATGCATAACATTCCATTTGTGCCTCACTCGTGTACATATAACCATCTGAACCGCAAACAATTTCTTCATTTTCATCTTCAACTATTGCACAGATGCGCTCACAATACTCTTCGGTGTCTTTTTGTTCACTGGGAGGCGCCTCTGTTGTAGTGGTGGATTTATTTGATTCACTACTTACAACTGGTTGTCGGCCATATAGATTCTAGAATAATAAAAGTTTAGTTTGTTTTTTGAGGTGTTTACATTTGCACACATGCATATTTTTAAAAATTTCTCTTTTAATTTAAAATTTTATTAGATTTTTTTATATTTTATTATAATTTTAAGAATTTATGTTAGAAATTTTAGAGGCCTAGCAAAATATCTGCAAATAGGACATTCACTTATAATGTCCAAAGGTTCCAAAAAAGTGATCGTGTCTGTATTCTATAAAGAACTTCATCGTGTTACTTTTCTATAGAGATCTTAACCGTGTCAATTTTCTATTGAAATCTTAATCATGTTTGGTTTTTATAGATATATTGATCGTGTTACTTTTCTATAGAAATCTTAGATCTTGTAGATTATTTGATCTTGTTACTGCAATTTGATCTTGTTACTGCAATTTCGTATGGAAATTCAAAAGGATCTTAATAGTTGTTAACCTGAAAACAGTTTGTGTAAAGGAGAGCGCAACCAAACGCAAGGAAAGCGGGTAATCCCCCCAGTGAGATCAAGTCCGACGATGGTTTAATGGTACGTTCCAACGACTCCGATCTCCGCTCCGGAATGACCTGATTCTCAATCGGCCAAAGATTGTCAACTCAGCAACAGCTAGATCAACCGGAAGTTTTTTCCCCAGGGAAGATCATCCAGTCACAGCCAATCTGTTACAACAACAACATAGTTCAATGGTACGTATCCTCACTGGACATACAGGACTACGAGCACAACTACACCGTATAGGACGAGTGGAATGCCATGAATGCAGAGCATGTGGTGAGGACAGTGAAGCACTGGAACGCCTTCTTCGACATACTCAAATTTTGTCGAAATTAGAACCAAACTCCCACAATATTAGATCCCTCAGAATCTAGATCCTTAAGGAATTTCAAACTGAAATTCTTAATTATCAAACGGTAATTCCACTTTAAGGGTGATTCACTGTTAATGTAAACGAGCGCAGAACAGGTCTGTTAGAGACCTAGGTGTTCATATATTTTCATGATCCTATTCAACCTAAACTGTAACAACCTAAAAGTCTTTTGCAATTAAATTTTCAATTTTTATGGAAAGACCGATATGTGTAACGAGTTATATGTAGGTATAAAAATCAGAAGTTATTCCAAATTAACCGTCAAATTTTCATAAAAGATATCAAGAAGCTCTTTAGTACTTTTCATACGAACTGTTTAAAGCTCAGATTTCTAACTTTTCCAAAGTCCTTTTGAAAAAACTGAACTGAAAAACGGTGAAGTAAGTTCGATCTTATTCGAGAAATGGTTACTCTTGCTAGACGTAAAATGGCGGTAACCATGAAAAAATTACGTTACTGAAGATAACAGGACAACAAATAAATTAAGAATTGATTAATAAACTTTTGAGGAAAGTTGAAGTGAAAATCAGTTAAATTAAACATGATTATACTATTTACCACTTTGGCTTTGTAGCCTGATCAGAGAAATTCATAGCTATTGGACTGTATTCCTTAATTAATGATTATTATTATAACAGTTCCATTGTTATTTTATCTTTTCCTTCCTGAGAACACATAGACAGCTCATACAGATCTCTATAAGTTGAATATCTTTAGTTGAGTCTCAGAACGTTCAAAAGGGAAGAACCACTTATCGTGGGAACCAAATTCTTTGGTCAAACATTCTGCTTTCAAAGAAAGGCTCAATGGTCCATTAGAAATATTTTGAAATATTAAAATTCAAATGAAATTTTATTCTCTTTTATCCATCCAAAACATAACATAGAAAAAATATTCTGAATACTAACGAAATTGCGAAGGAGGAACAAAGTCCTTAAAACCGGTAGCTGGTATTACTTGGGGTATGAATAAAGAAACCCTGTTGACTACTTTTAAAACGATAGGTTAGCGGTTAATTGTTGAGAAATATGCTACCCTAAGGATTGATATGGGCTGCATGTAAATATCCTCTGAACACCACCTACATGAGGAAGGTTCTTCCAGTTGAAGAGGATTCCCCAAGCTATGTTTGAAAGGACCTTTGTGTATAAGATTAGGATATGTGCACAATCCGATCGAACATTGTTAATGGCAACTTTGAACGAGATTCAAAGAGTCGCTCTTGCTGTACACCCACCTCCAATAGCCGACACCTGCCTAAAACCACATTAATTCTGTCACAACTAAGGGTTGGAGCAATGGTCTTATTACAGCCTCATAGACTGTGAATGAATGCCATATGCTGGTAAGGATCTTTGAGATAGCTCCACAAATATTTAACTATCTAGCCAACCCAATTGTACAATGGCTTTATCCTGTAGGAATATTACAATTTTTAAGCCTTGACCCCATGTAAAACCGCTCGGATTAAATTATTGCGCACAAAATTCACATCAGAAGTCCATCACCTGCGCGGCATACAAGAGTCATTTGGGTGCAACTAAGTTCGGGGTTGAGCAACATACTTTGTAACTGCTGTCTTTAATAGACCGTGAATATCTGGCATATGGTCAAGGTCCATATTCAACTGTGTTGCCTAGCCAACTCTACTTCAATTTGTGTAATGGAATCCTACAGAAGTAATGACATTATAAAGCCTAGATCCTCAATAAAGAATCCCCCGAATTAGATTATCGTATAGCATTAGCTGTTACAACAACAACTAAAGAAATTTACATGAGAAACACGCTACTTATTGCCGTGGCTAACAACTTTTTCAGTGGTCAGGGTCCTCATGTAACATATCATTCAACTGCCTAGTCCTTCCTTTGTCTAATGGATTTATGCACGAATCCTTTAGAAGAAGTTCGGATCAGGTATCAAAAATGAATTTTGACTTTAAAACTAATCATGAGAACATATTAATAACCTTGTACTTTCAATTTGATAAAAGTACCAATTCGATATTCCAAATTTTAATACCCCTTCTGGACAAAAAAAGTTTTCCAAATATGTATGAGTGTTGCACCCAAATTCTTTTGAACATAAAGAGATAATATGAAACATTCTGTAAAGAAAAGGTTTAAGTCTTGACTTAAACAAATTACCTGGCACCATTGTCATTAACCGTTAATTTTAAAGCTAACGGTAAAGAAATAAATATATTAGAACAAATAACAGCACTATAACAGAACATATTATCGATTTAAGCTGCATTCTTTATAAATTTCTTAAAAATACAAAAGAAAGTGATAATTTTGTGAATTAAAGTGATTGTTTAAAGAAAAACATTTAGTGAGAGTGTCAGTGCTTTGAATAAAAATATATCACAGATTTTTAAAAAGTCGGTATTAAGTGGAAAATAAAATCTAAAATTAACTTACTGTTCCTGCTTCTTGCATATCATCACCATCCTCCGGATCATCATCATTATCTTCCGCTATCGGTTTAACCGGATGTTTACTAATCAACTTTGAACCCAACGAACTAACTGTTGAACTTTCGACACTGGGCGTTACACTATTCGAGGCCAAAGAATTATATCTTAATTGTACTTGTGGAGCATGAGTGTAGGCAACACCTCCCACCATAGCATCACGTTCGGTAAATTCAAAACGTAAAGGTTCAGGCGTGCGATTTCCCGCTGAATTATGTCTTAATTGAGCATAAACATGAGGTTTCTGGGTAGATATCACAATAGAACTGGGTGTAGAGACAATTGGTAAGGAGTATTTGGAAACTTTATTATCTTGAGAATTGACCACAAATTGATTTTGATTATAACCAGTTTGATAGCTAGTGCGTACGACGGTGGAGGAAGCTGCTGTAGAGGGATCATGTGTTTGATAGAAGAACTGGGAAACAGGATTTGCTGCCAGATTGTAGGAAGAGGCATCGGAGAGGTCGGAATAAGGATTATTAGAATATTGGGTGCTGGCTAAAGCAGCGGAAGAAGAGGAGGAGGATGCATAACTTGGCTGCTGTTGCTGTAGAGCCTGTTGGTATGGTGTCTGCTGTGGTTGTGTTTGCTGATAAGGTGTGGGTTGTTGTGTTTGCTGCAGAGAATGCAAATGTTGCTGCTGTTGAGCCTTTAAAACATTGTACTGGCGTTTATCGGTTTCCTCATCTATCTGCTTGTAATTGGGATCTTTTTTGGGCAGAAAATATTCATTGGTATTCATAAAACGTAAATATTCCTGAGCTTCTTTGTCCAATCCTTGATATGTGGCAGTTTGATAATTGTTATTTTGCAATTCTGTCATGTCGTTTTCTTCATAAACCGAATACATTTTTGGTGGCACTGAGGCCGCTGCGGGAAAGGCTACGTTATTCATGTTGTTCGATTGCGGACTTTCATGTATGGGTATGGAAGGCTGTTGTTGTTGTGATTGTGGCAAATACTGTTGAGGTTGTTGAACTCCATAATTTAGCTGCTGCTGTTGTTGTGCTTGTAATTCTTGCTGTTGTTGGGTGTGTTGCAGTTGATAGTAGGCTATGGGGTTTTTGGGTGTTAGATATTTCTGTTGTTGCAAATATTTTTCATGTTGCTCATTGTATTGTTGCATTTTCTCCTGATCGGGTATGGGATATTGTTTGAAATCGGGGTATTGGGTCAGCGTTTGTTGAGGTTGTTTTTGTTGTTGGTTTTGAGTTGCTGCTGTTTGTGTCAATTGCTGCTGGGGCTTAACATATTTGGGATAGATATTATCCTGTTGTGCTGTGTTGGGTTTTTGGTTTTGAGTTTGGGTTACAGGATGTACCACCACTTGACCATTGAAAGCGGGTGAGGCTTTGAAATTGTGTATATATTGTTGTGATAAAGCTGGTACATGCACGGAATTGGGATGAGCTCCCGCTAATTGTGGTCTATAGGCAGATCCTTTGCCATTATTTAAAAATGCTGGATTGGCCCCCTTAGAGGAGGGGGCATATTTGGAACTCTTCAAGGAGTCATAACCAAAACGCATGTTTTGCTGAGGCTGCACACCATTGTGTACACGACGTATTTGGGTACGTATAGGGAAATGATCCGCCCTCGCACGTATTTTAATTGGTTGCCTGCGTCTCAGCGTAAACGTAGGCGTTCTAGGATGCGGCAATAAAGTGCGACCCGTTCTTGAATTCGTAACATTTTTCACTAATTCTTGAAAAGTTGTATTTAATTGCTCGTTATTTTCTTGTACCGCTAATTGCTTATTAATATTTTCAGCACTGCACATTAACAAACCATAAAAGGTTATAATAAATAAACCACTTATTGATAGTTTTAAATAAAACATTTTTCTTTCTTTTGTTGCGATATTTTGTTTTTAATATATTTTTTTTTTTTCTATATTTATCTTTTAACACTTTTACTTTTTTTTTGTTGTTTTGGTAAACGTTAGGTTTCGAATTGATTGATCGTTACACAATTTAATATAAACAGTATTTTTTTTCTTTTCAATAAATTTTAACTAAACATTTCAACGCTTTAAAGTTAAACTGGGTAAACTTTTTTTTATTTATGTTTAAATTTTTTATTCCGTTTAGTTGCTTCTTAACGTCTTCTTTTGCCAACGTCTAGTTTACATTTAATATACCGTTGGTTTGGTGTCTATAAGCGTAGCTTGCTTGCAACTTCTTAAACTTTTACCCAAAAGACAGAAGACCATGGTCATGACAACAAAAGACTGACTGACTACATATTATAGTTTGTTTTTTCTTTTTCATTCAAACACATACACTACAAACCAATTTTTTTTAATATATTTTAAACTTTTCTTTTCTTGTTTGAGTTTGAGTGTTGCGCCTGCGCTATGTTGTGTTGCTTCTTAGTTTTCAAGTTTTCGTCTTTTTTTGCATTTCTTGTTTTTTTGTTGCTTTTCTTTAGCAATTGTGTTGTTTATATTTGAGCCGCTAAGAAAGGTTCATTGTTTGTTGTATTTCGTAGTGTTGAATATGTGTTTGTTTCATATATGAACACTCCGTGAGTAGTGTTTTAAAATTACAAAAGACTGATTGGAACCAGTTGTTTATATTCTTTCTTTCTATCTATTGATCTTGTCTGTTTGACTTTAACCAAAAATATAGAATCGATATTCAATCTCACAGCTTACAAGAAATAGTGGTTTAATTTTATTGTTAGAAATAAAGTATATTGCTTCTATCAATAAAATATTGATGGGTTCAAAAACAGTCAAAGAAATTTGGGGAAGGTTACTACAAAATCACTTAAGTGGGAAACTGCAGGAGATAATTACTGAAAGCTGTGTATGGGAATTCCATATTCGTTATTAAAGATCAATTATAATTGGGAAATTGTTTCTCATGGAAAGAAGGCTTCTATTTTCTATGAGAGAAAGCTATTTCTCAACACTGAGGAGAGGAGATTATCCGTATTCTGAAGTGATGGGAGATTTCCCGAGATAAAAGATCACAGTTTCTTCTCCCAACACTCAGCTAGAACCTGAAATGTACTAAAACATTTTATGTATCCATACCGAATCACTAGAAGGGGATTCTCAACTGTTAGCCCATAAATGTATATGTTTAGGGATCGGGACCTTCATACCGGGACCTACTCACTACAAACAGACATCAAAGACGTGGTTCGTATGAGCAAATATTGCAACCGAGCAGAAGAAACGCTCAGGATTACGAATGACAAACAGAGCTCCATTAAAATTTTTCGATCTTCGAAATTTCTTAAACATTTTGAGTTACACCCAACTTTTTAAAACTGATTCTGAAACGTCAGCGCACAATTTATATGATCTATATACGATATATCAAAAACGGGTTTATTACCTTCAACCTTGCACAAAAAAACTTTCAAAATCACGAATATCAAACTTTGTAGTATTGAATTAGGAAAACTTTCCGGTGAAAGTTTCTGGCTTTATATGATCTGATCACGATAAATGGAAAATGTGTTTTTAGGTATTCTTTCCATAACACTCAGCATGGAATACTTAATGCAAAAGTATCATTGCAAGTTTAATACATAATTTGTACTTCAGATTTTCCGACGCCAGATTGTGAAACGATTTGGATTGTAATCGTTGCCACCTCTTAATCACCGAAACTGCGACACTAATAACTAGAAAACTAGAAGTCCTGCTGATAGCGGGTTCTATTCTTACGCCGAATTGCAAATTTTCCACACGATTCGCAAGCAATGTTCCAATTGTCTAGATAAGTGCGCAAAGAATCTAACTGTTTCTTAGACGAGGTGACAGATTTACTTCTATGTCCTTCAGAAACTGTTTTAGTGATAGCGAGAGATTGATATTCAAGTGTTTGCGAAAACTAGAGAGAATTGTCAGGACTAGGTATTGCTAGCTTTGGTGGTTTAATTCTAGATGGAACCATTTGATCGAGTAACAAGATATAACTCAATAACATCCAATATCTATCCTTCTCAATAAAACTAAAGTTGATTCTGCGCTAAATCTGAAAAAACTGTTTGCGTGATTGATCGAGAGAAGATTATCAAGTTTTGGAATAGTTTTCAATGGGATCATTAGATCGAGTTTGAAATACTTAATCATTAAATCTAACATCTATCCATCTCTGAGATAAAATAAAGTGAACTCTGATCTAAATCCGTAGAAATATTTTGATCTTATACCTTTAGCGTGAACGAGAGAGGATAATCCAGTTTAGGAATTACTAGCTGTTTGCGTGTACGAGAGAGGATTATCAGGTTTAGGAATAGCTTTCAATGGGATTATTAGATCGAGTTCTAAACCATCCCTCTCTGAGATAAAAAAGTTGACTATGCACCGAAAAAAGTCGGAAGAATCTTATACTATTTGCGTGAACATGCGAGGATTGTCAAGTTTAGAAAAAGATCATGTAAAAGATCGAAACCTAACTGATAGAGATCGATGATACTGATGAGATTTTGACATTAAGTCATTCACATGGATGTTAGATGTCTTTCACTTCTACCTTAGAATACGAAGTAGAAACATTTGAACATGCGAGGATTGTCAAGTTTAGAAAAAGATCATGTAAAAGATCGAAACCTAACTGATAGAGATCGATGATACTGATGAGATTTTGACATTAAGTCATTCACATGGATGTTAGATGTCTTTCACTTCTACCTTAGAATACGAAGTAGAAACATTTGATAGATCTTGTTAAAGATCGAAATCGATCGCGTTATAAAACAATACATCGTTCTTAATGAAATATCCGTTAGAAACAACACAAGTGAAAGACATGACGTTATAGAATAAATATGTATGTATATCCAAATTGCTGACAGGTAAGCAGGCATGTTGTTTTGGACTCCACTTCAACGACCTAGACTAAAAACTGGTTCTTATACTACGTTAGTAAACATTACGATCTTAATGACAATATATCTTGTCAAAATGGAGTCATTTTGAATCTACTTGACTGTGCAGTGATTGTTGATTGGACTTATTAAGAATTTGGAGAGTTTCAGAATTATTCGAATTTATATTTATGAAAAACAAAGTCGGATAGCTGGAGCGGGCAAATAAGTTCATGATAACCACAAAATCTCAAACATATGGTCCATTTAATTAACAGCGACCCATCCCATGCTATTCCTATTCTTAATAAAAATCCCGTAGCCAAATCAACTTAAATTTATTCCAAGTGTATCGATAACAACATTTTACCTGGTTAATATTTATCTATCAACAATTTCCTGATTTTTTTTTCATTGACTCGTTCATTTACTCTATATGCTGGATAAATGACGTTAAAAGACTTATGAATATCTAGTTTAGATTACTATCGAAGTATTTTACAGAAAAACTGGAATACTATAGAATTACCATTACTATTGTGGTGATTTCAAGTTTAGTTTGTTTCTAAGGCGGTGAAAGATATTTCTTTAATTGCCTTGCTCTTCTTAACTTAACAGGTATGTGTGTAAAAGAATGTGTAATAATAAACCAACAAATATAAATATTAAAAAAATAATAATTATTACTCGAACAATTTTAATGAGCTCCTTAGACTGCTATAAAATTGTGGATTCTTTGACTTTTTCTTGAAATTCATCAGCAGCTAGTTGGCAATTATAAGAATGTGGTTAAACTACTGCTAGATTTTGTGGCAAGTATGAAAAATACTCATAATAAGAAGTAATATTTTATAGGAATTTTTTGTTGTTTTTAATTTTAATGATACTTGTACAGTGGATTATGAAATTGTTAAATTTCTAGTACAAATTGGAATAATGTTACAGCAGTTCAAATTTTGAATTAAATCTTTTAAAAGCAAGTTTCGTTAGATTAGTTAGGAATTACATACAGTTTAAATAACCTGTATAGGTTAACTAGCTATACCCAGTGTGCTTTGCTACCCTAAAAGGAATATGTATAAATAAAAATCCCACTTAACGATTTTGAATATTCTAACCACAATAGTTTTCCAGATTTATAATATGTTACATATGATTGTATTCTATTTCTATCTATCTATAAAAAATTTGAATAATAGAAGAATTTCCAAGATGCACGAAATTTTGTATTTAATTTATATATGTTGTGCCAAGCCACCCATTGAAAGTCCGACCGTTATGCTCTAAATGTTCACATGAATTTCAAAGTTCTTCATGTAAAATTTGAAGATTCTTGCTCTAATAGTTTCTCAGATATAAAAATTTTTCTATTTGTGGGGGCTTCAAGCTCCTCACATGAAAGTCCAAAATGTTCAGATGAATACTATACTAATTTGTGCAAAATTTTAAGAATCAAGTTCTATTAGTTTCCCAGATAAACGAATTTTATATTTAATTCATATGGGAGGTGCCAAGTTTCCCATTGAAAGTCCGCCCGTTATACTCTAAATGTTCAGATGAATGTCCATATTCTTTATTTCTAGCTGTAATAGTTTCTCAGATATACGAATTTTTCTATTTGATTCATATGAGGGTTCAAGCCTCCCCAGATGAAAGTCCGTTTTTCCCCTCCAAAATGTTCAGATGAATATTTAAGTTCTTCGTGCAAAATTTGAAGAATTTAGTTCCTTTAGTTTTCCAGATAAAGGAATTTTTGTCTTAAATTAATATGGGAGGTGTCGCTCCCCTCATGGGTCCGCCAATTTATTACCCAAAATGTTTAGATGGATGTTAAAGTTATTCGTGCAAAATTTGAAGATTCTAACTGTAATAGTTTCCAAGATAAACGAATTTTTGTATTTAATTATATGGGAGGTGCCACGCCCCCTAATGCTAGTCCGCCTACTTTTTGTCCTAAATAATTATATTGATACTAAAGTTGCTCCGACAAGTAGCCTATTACCTATTCCAGACATACAGGAATACGCTGTGAAAATTTGAATAAAATCGGTTCAGCCGTTTAGTAGTCTATAACGTTCAAACATACAAACAAACACACATTCATTTTTATATATATATAGATAATACGAGGGTATTATTGAAAATTCTAGGTAAATAATTACTAATATTAAGTTAATTTAGTTTTATATAGATTTTTATTCTCAATAATTAAACCTGTTAAAAAGTCTTAATTAACTCTTAACGGTTGTATCAAATCCTCAAAGTTGTCAAATATACCGACATGCTATATCAATTTGTATCTAACA